TGCTGCCTTTTATGCATTTTCTCTGGCCCTCCCCCAAAGCACTGGGATTGGAAGGGACTTCAGAGAATGCTGACAGGTCACTGGCCAGCCACACATGTCAGTCATGAAAGCACGCCTTCCCCCTCTCCCCCTCCCTCCCCTTACTTTCCTTTTTTTTCCCCCCCACAGGGAATCCAGTATAGGCAAGTTGAATATTCAACTCACGCTGTTAATATTTAACTTCTGGTATTCGATTGGACAGCTATTCCACCAGCTGCTATTCAGCTTGACTTTCACTTTTCAAGGTCGGATATTTGTCGAATCGAATATTAAGTCAAAGCTTTGCACAGCCCTAATGCCAACATTCTTCCTATGGGCATAGAATTAATTTCAGAGCAGCACCCTTGGAAAATTTCATGCATTGCTTTCCCATTTGTTCCTGTGAGAGTTCTCATCTGTTCTGCTTACAACCACAGTCTCTCGTCTGGAGCAAAGCTTAGACATGATCTGAAGCCATAAGCTCTAGAGCCATGGGTGCATCATCATCAATGCAATGTAAATTACATGACCAAATTGCTGCCATGTAGGATCACTAGGATGCTGCATATTCCTCCTTTCTTGAGCAATTCATATTAGCGATTTAGATGTCAGGATTAGAAAAGCAGTGCTCTTTCATACTGAACCACAACAATAAACAAATTTCCCTTTTCTTTTATTCCTCCACTGAACAAATAAATGAAAGGAACAGGCTTGCTATAGTTACAAAAGTAATAATGAGAATAGTATAAATGTCATGAAAGATTACAAATGATTCATTTACCCATCATCAAACAGGTGATGAAAACATATCAATGGGTACTACAGCTTCTTCTATTCCAATGGAACCTAAGGATTTTCCTGGAAAAGACAGTAACGATCCCTACAAGCAGCATCCCACAAGTTCTAGTAAGGCTAACGAATTACAATAACCTTACCTAATGTAAACTGTATTGTATTCAAGCAGAGTTTCTGGGTAAGTGACTGGTAAGTGACCAGGTATGTGTGATGGAGTTGGAACATCATTCTAGGACACAATTCTCTGGGGCGGTTGTATCAGAAATGAGATTTATATAGGATGGCTGATGAAAAGTGAAAAGATGACGAAAATGTTACATGCCTACCTCAATGTGTGTGCTTCAGATTAGTAAATTATTCTCCTTGATCCATATATATATTTTGCTATTTTCTCATGCTCTTCTCTCAGTTATCAGGCACTACAATTTAATTCACTTGAGGTACTTGTGGCTGGCTTATATGAGAAAGAGATAGTGAATTTTTTCTCCATATGCAGAGTGTACATATTTTGATACTTAATATCAAAGAACAAGCATGATTTTTGCTTGTTTGTGGATGTGAGGCTGGCAACACAAATCAAAATCCTGATCTATCTCACTGTGGACATGCATTGAGAGTGTGTTTGAATGAAGGTTACAGTATCTGTGCGCTGAAAAAGAAGTTATAGTACCTGTAATTAATAGCAGCATGAAGATACGGGTTCAGTGCTTATGGGGCCTTTGAGTGTTTGAAGGAACATTAGCTTTTCCCTAGGACTCAACAGAATACAAACACCATTTTCTGCCCTGCATTGAATAGCTGTGCTATGATGTATAGAAACAAATTTCTCCAGGTATCCTCCCCCAGTACTCAGCACATGCATGCAATACATGGTAGAATCTTACCACTAGCGTGAGGGCAAAATGAAATGAGATCAGGTTTAACTGTTTTGAACTTGGGCTTTATACATGATGAATTTCTTAATTTTAAGGTGATGGAGGTTTGTGGTGGTGGGACAGATGGGTCTGCAGCCAGAGGAAGAATAGGTGAATGTAATGGAGGAAATTTTACAGACTTTAGATAGCTGGCCGTTTGAAGTAACTGTTCAATTGTCATCATGTTGATTTTGATGGGATTTTTATATTTCATCTTGATCTGATATTTAATTTTATGACTTCATCCTTCTTGCACAGGGACTTTTATGACTTTCAAAACTGGCATTTGATCTCTGGAAAGGGGGTCAGGAACCATTGGTTTTCCATCTTATAAAAATGCATTGATTTAAATGGTCTGTGTTCTTATTTTGTGTTCACAGGCTTCCTTCACTGATGTACCTTGATTTGGGGGGGTAGAAATTTAGAGTTGGCTGAAATGCCAATAAAGAACATTAAAAGTTGGTAAAAATATGTTGATATTTCTACATCAGGGCTAGTGTTGTGATGCTAGCAGGAATGCTCATCATCTAGAGATGGTGTGACCTGCCCTCTCTCAGAAGGTTTGTTTCAGGGACATAGCTTCTTCACTTTCCTTGCTAAAACTGTCACTAACCAGTATTGCCTCTAACTCAGAGCAGGGCCTGGTCTGTATCACAATGGAAAGGGTTTCATTTTCCTGCATTACAAACTAGAAAAAAGCAATTCAGGGTCCCTTTCAGAATTGTTGATAGTTTATTGCTGGGTATCTCCCTGAATTGTCTTCTCTCAGGTAATTCTGTGACAGAAAGCTACAGGCTAAAAGCTTGTGATTGTTTCCCCATGGGCATGCCTGCACATGCTGTTAATTCAACTGAATAAACTCTGGCACACTCTGTGCCAGAGTTTATTGCTCCTGGATGCTGTGTTTACATGTGCACCCAGGACTGCAGCACATTGAGCTGTTGGAGTTGCCCTGGCTGGCAGTGGGCTCCAGGGTCTGCCTGCCAGCCCGGGGCTGCTTGACCCAGCTCACCATTCTGCAGAAGGGCTGGCTGGGGCACAAGGGTGCTTGAGTGCAGGGCTAGCCAGCAAGCAGCCCCCACACTGAAGCACCCTAGTGCTCCAGCCAGCCCCATCAGTGTCTACCCATGTTCTGTGGTGGAGTAAATAATGCCACCACAGGATAGTACTTGTGGTGACAAGTACTATCCTATGTACGGCAGCATTTATTAGTTTACTGTGGCCTTATAGGGCTGCACGCTTAGCTTCTGAGACATTGAATTAGTTAGGCAATTCCTCAGTAAATGTCTCATGTAGACACACTGTACACACACTATTCAGGCTCTTCAGGCTCATTGTTGTTCCTTAACCATGATTCATCTCCCAAGGCAGTTGTAAAGATTGGTAAAAAAAAATCACACCATGTAGAGCAAACAAAACAGAATCAGCTTTAGTCCTATTAACACAGGGGTGGGCAAAATGCAGCCCACGGGCCAGATGTGGCCCACCAGGCCATTTTATCTGGCCTGCAAGGCCCCTAAAAATTTAGAAAATTAATATTTATCTGCCCCTGGCTGCCTGTCACACGGCCCTCAATGGCTTGCCAAAACTCAGTAAGCGGCCCTCCGCCCAAAATAATTGCCCACCCCTGCATTAGCAGTAAGCACAGAGTGAGCACCAAACACAGATTTTTAGATGGGACAGGAAAATTATATATTTGAATACTATAGTGGCAGGAGAAAGAGAAAAAAAGAATGGCCATCAATACTGCATCTACCTGTCTAATTTGTTAGCTAAAACCTACACAAATAAATACAGGTACCAAGGTATCCACTAGCTGTAAGTGGATCATTTACAATGCATTTTAAAATGGCAAAATGCCATTGGCACTCTTTTTACTCATCTGTAAATATGAATGTTATCACTGGGGTGCTCATTTGTCTTCTGTAAATTAAGGCCGATAGATGCACCTGGGTAAACAGCAGACTTGGGGTGCTGGTTTTCTTTCCAAATATGGCTACATATTGCTGAGCAACATTTTAGCGATGCTGTATCATTCCAGGTCTATTTGTGGGGTACTAATTTCCGGAATGACATTAATGTTACACTTACCTCTATCATAGCTCAGTAGAGAGAGCAAGGAATCAACATTCTTCATCTGCATTTAGGTCTCAGATTTTAAGAAGTGATGTATTTAGGGTTCCATAACTCTTCTGAACTTGTTGATCCAGCACTATAATGCATCAGTGCAATGATAAAATATTGCATCATTTTAAAAACATGTCAAGTAGTTATTTCCTCTAAAAATCTTGTACTTGTTCCTCAGTACTCAAACTGACTCAAGCATTGCTACAGAATATGGCAGTGTAGATATATTATCTTCCTAAGACTTTACATCATGAATCTTACCACTTACTAAATTAAGGCAGGTTAGATTTGTTACCAGCTGGTTAGGAAGGAAAAAAGGCCTTCTACTGAAATCATGATTGTCTGCTTCAGAAACTATTTTTTGCTGAGAAATGGTATGACACAGAATTATCTTATTTCTAACTGTGAGAGGGCCAATACTGAGTGAGCTTCGGGTGTGTGGCCAGCAGACTGGTTTAATTTTGTGGTTCCAGATACCTGGGAAATAGTTCAGGTTCACAAAACATTGGTATCTGTTGTCTCCAGTGCCTACACTAATAGGTGGGCTAGACTACATAAAATTATGGTTCAAAATAAGGTGCAGTGAAAAATTTCCAAAACAATTATTTTCTTTTAAGTACTGAGTTCGATTGTACTTGTGTAGGGATGTACTGTATGTATCATTCTTTGCATTCTGAACTTTGACAATATGAACTGAAGGGAGAACATTTTCAAAAACAATTAACAGTCAAATCCAGCATTTAAGTCCATAAGGAAGTCAGTGGGTGTTTGCTTGCATAAAGAATGCAAGGATTTGACCTTAAAATTTTACTGTTGGGATTTTTTTCCATTGGTGGTAGTGACAGGCCTTTTCTATAACCTTGTATATCTTTGAGCCAATGGCTTTGTATCAACAAATACTTTCAGCATATGCTATATATTTTCTGGTCAGGGATTTTCTTTTTCCTTGCATTAATCTTCTGCAACATGTATTAATGCTAGTGACCATGGCTTTATCTTGCATTCCTATCCCTCTCAATATTATCATACTTATTTCCCAGTTCGTCTTCCTGTTAATTCAATGGTAGAACTCCTGGTAACTCCAGTGGTGGTGGAATCAGACCCCTTTTGGTGCAAGTGTGCACAGATTTGTAACCTTATTGGTAATGTGAATATGGTGGTAGAGCTTTTGGGTACCTATTAGCTTGTGTTTGTAGCCCACTAATGGCACCTTTTACACAAAATGATGCGCTCTCTCTCATATTGATAGGGCCTTCATTTCATTGCGTGACAAGAAAACTGCAATTCTATTTTGAATATATTTCATTGCAGAATGTATTATATGTTCTACTGCTTGTTTCCGTGATCCATAAAATTACAGTTCCAAAATAATAAGTTAAACACCACAGTAACTTACCTTGATCCTGTGAGCAATACAGTTGTGGTTCTAATTAAAAATGAATTAAAGGAACAGTCAAGTAACTGTTGTTATTGGTCCGCCACTGTTGCTTTGGTAGCTTTTGTTGTTGTTGTTATCTTTCTCATTCTTTTCACTAGTTATTTGCTAATGCACTGAGGCCAAAGAGTCATATCTTTACTGTGCACTCATATTTATTTCTTACCGTCATTATCTCACTTCTAGGTGAAGGTGCTGGTGGATTTTGGCTTTGCTGCGCAGACACATTTGGTGGTGGCACTGGTGCTAGTTGGATTATTTAATATTTCGGTCTTACATCTTTGTGCCTCAACAACTGTATCTTTAGTTGTTTCATACCTCAATGCATTTCACTGTGGCCAGGTACAGACATTACACTTTTACTGGTATAAGTGATTGAAAACCAGTCTACACTCATAACTGAACAGAAGTTTGGCATATAGACTGGTTTAAAAATGGCAGAACCAAGTCTAAGATTTGCCCCCCTACCTCCAAAGGGCAAATGTATGTTCTTTTGGCTACCAATCTAAACTATACCACTTACAGAAAACTACATAACAGATCACTAAAAACTGTAATGGGATAATATTATATATTTTCCCTTTTCTGCATTCATGAACTGTTCTCTCCTTGACAACTACAAAATTCTCAAATAAAGAAGGATACAGTGATAAAATTAAGTTTCAGTCACATACAGCTACATGGATTCCTATGAGAACATTTTGTAAGAAAACTGGCTTCAATCAAACCTAGATTAGAGATGCAACCACAGCTGGTTTTTTGGCTATGAATTCTGTGTTATTCTGTATTAAGACCATACCTTTCAGTAAATAGGAGGATGGTGTGGAAGGAACAGATTACAAAAACAGTTATACTTTAAACAAACCAGAATTCCCATTCTATTCTCTTCAAGTTTCCTCCCTATACATTTGTAAAAGATATATTTTAGGTATAGAAGGGAGAAGAGCAAAAGCTGTATGGAAGAGAGAAGTGCAAAAGATAAATTTTGGTGGTGCCTCAATCAGAAAAAAAGTTACAACTGATTGAACCGTTCCCCCACAGCTGTGGATCTGTATCGTATTGAACCTCAGGAAGCTTCTGTACCATCTCAGTGGAGTCCAATCCATTGGTCGTGGTCCCATCAACATCCCCAGGAACAGGAACCAACTCAGGCATCAGGGGGTAAAGCGTATAAGTCATTTTAACTGCTATACTATGTATAAAATCTTCTGATAAATCAAGAACCAATTGTAATTCCAATAATGGCACATCAGTATTTAATGGAAGTTCTACACTTTTCTTAATGCTGCATAGAAAAGAATACCTTTTTCCTTTAAATTCTGCTCTCGGAGAGCAGGATTATGTCTTGAAGGCACAACCAACATTGGAGAAGTGTGGTACCTCTCTGCTGCAATGAGAGGAGCCAAGCAACACTTGAAAGGAGTATGCCCACTACTATTCCCCTCTCCTTGACATGGATATCTCTCTGAGACCTCGTCATACTCACTTATGTCCCCAGAACCTGTGTGCTCTGACAGTTTTGTGTCTTCAGTTAACTTTGATTTAAGAAAGCAAGTAATCCTCTTCATTATTTTGACCCCTTTGTTGGGGGGCACTTTCTTTCCATCCTAGTTCCTTGGTCCAGTATAGGACTAATGGGTAAATATTACATACTGCAACAAAAATCTAGCGAAATAAAATGATGAGGTTAATGGATGGCAACCTTAAAGCTGGTGGCATTTGTCTGAGAATGAGATGACTTGTTACTGTGTTATGTCAAAAATGGAGTGCGGATTCTTTGGAGAAGGGAGCATGTTTCCAATTATTTATGTGAGAGGCGAGGATTTCTTAGGGTGATATCTTTTATAAACTTCTTATCCGCTATAATAGATCTTTATAAAAGATATCATCCTAAGAAATCCTTGCCTCTCACATAATTTCTGGACCAACATGGCTATGAAATTATTATTACACTTGTTATTTAATAACTATTAGTTATTATTTGATAATTATTTAATAAGCTATTGGTACTTTATTTGGGGCATTGGAAATTCTGCAAATATCATTTATTTTAACAATAAGCATAAGTAATAGATTTTGTTTTGTAAAGAAGGTACCTCTCTCTCCAGTCCTTTTCCTGTGCTTAATAAACCACTAAAAAAGCACAGCATACTATAAAGATGGGAAGGAATAAAGATGACATGTTTTGGAGTGATGGGTCAGCAAATGAAAAGTTTATAATAGGTTTAACATAATCATAGCAGATAAGGATTTAGACGACAGTTATCCAGAAGAAGAAACTGAAGATCCATTTAGTTCTGATTATGTTTCTGGATGGGATGACGAGTACAAGGAAAAGAGTCCTTCAATTACAAGTAAGAGAAATTAATTCTAATAATGTTATTTCCTTAATATGTTTAAAGCCCATCAATATACATCAATAAAATGGATATCTGCTGCCATGGACACATTTAAGCAGCTATGTTACATGGCACACATAGCACAGAAATATGTCAGCTAGAAAAGTAGTTATGGTAGTTATGGTCCATCAGTGACTAACAATGGAAAATGAAGGACATTAGAATAGTGAAACATGTTTATTATCTACCATGTTCATAATGGAACAAGCCTGTTGTGAACTGGTGCATTGAATTTTCTACCACACAAAATTTACAGCAGTAGTGATCAGCTATTAAAAAAGTCTCCTATAAAATACCCTTGGCATTTCACAGCATGGCCTAAGTTAGAAGGTTAAACATATTTATTTACACAGCTATTAACACTTCTGTACTTAGTTAGGGTACATGAAGAAAGGCTTCCCTGGTGGGTTATTTGGAGTGGGGGGAGGTAGTGTCCTTCTAGCAGTGAGCTTCATTAGCCATTCGTAGGAGAATGTATTGTTTTCTTTGAGATGTTTGTTTTATTCTTTGCCAAAAGTTTGGGATGTTTCTGATGGGGTTTCATTTCTCCTTGTGTTGCTGGTTTAGTACATATTGTATTTAGCGTGCATGTTGGTTTCTGTGACTTCTTTGCTGGTTGCATGGCTACAGCTGAGAGAAATATTGGGTTACGCTACATGTGAGGGTTTGTCCATAGTCCTTATGGACTTTATTTGTCCTTGCATTAATGACTTGTAGTTTATTGAAATGAATGGTTTGCGTCCTTCTGCAGTGGTTGGATTCCTCCTAATTTTTCTGTATGTGTGGTGATAGATTTTAACCCTGAAGGGTATAATGGGTGTAATGGTGATAACTGAAGACCTTTGCTTACTGTATTGTGCTTTAGCTCAATACAAAGACTTTTAACACTAAACTTGGCTTCCGTAGGCACATGGCAAGAATGCTTTATCCACATTCAGATCCATTGTGTTCTTTTGGTGCATCATAATCCTTCTAGCTTGAGTTAAGAGTAACAAGCTGTTGCAGCTATTATAATGGTGTTGTCACTATTTCCACTATTATTCTGTCACTCTTGTTTCCCTTAATATCCTTGGGAAACTATACAGCTTCTGAGAACTGTGAGATATGTGATATGTGATGGATGAGAAAACCAGTGATGCCATGGTAAACACTAGGCATCCATCTATATTCATCTCATATACATTAGCAATATATTGCTGATGTATAAAAAAGACTAATAAAATATGGGTGGTGGCTCAGCAAATCCATGTTGCCATTGAATCCTCCATTGTCCTAACAGCTATGGATTCTCAAAATGCTATATTTCTGAAAAACACTACACAATCTCATTGGAGACCTGCCTATATAGAGGACAAGGAGAACAAGCCTACCTCTTCCAGCAAGGGTAAATAATTTAAATAATATACAATTCAGCTTTGAGATATAGTTCTTGAATATATAAATTCTATAACTCTGATGTTACAGTGAAGCCAATCCTAATGCTGCCAGCATTATCAATATTTTCATACTTTAGCTTGGTATGACAACTTAATACTTTGTGGACTAGAGCCCCCAGAGTTGGTATCTATATATCAATTTAAATGTATCTCTGTAATGTGTTCGTCTATGAGGCTGCTGCTTCTGACCCATATCATGAACAACGGTGTTAAATGTGGATTTCTACATGTAAAATATCACTTACCAAGTTAAAATAAGCCTCTTTCTTA